AGCGTAACATCCCAATTAAAGCTCAACGAAGTCTGGAGAGCATAGCTACATCTGATCACTCACTTTCACCTTTGAAAAAACAACAAACAACATCCTCATCACCCTTAAAGGTTTGATTTTTAACCTCACATTCTTTCATTGCTTATTATTATTACTTGTAATACTATGCTTGCAACTTTTTACTCTTTTTTAAATTAGAAATCATTGTCACGTATGATTATTTCCTTGATGGATGCCATAAGACTTGAAATCAATAGGACTTTAATAAAGTTTTATAATGGCTATATAAATTGTACATAAGATAATGTTAAAAAAAATTAATCACACATGATTTTTATTTTTTTGTCTCATCCACACATTTAACTTCATATAATTCACAAATGTTGATAGAATTTTCAACATTCAATTCCATCTGCAACATAGAACAAAAAAACCAAAAACATTTTTTTGAAGACTATTTAACATGTAAAAAAAAAGACATTAACTAAAGCATCAAATTATAGCAAACTTTTTTTCTTTTATTGTACAAATTATTACTCCATGTTATTTTATATTACACATGCTTGCAGCGCACACATTTAACACATCCTTTCTTCCTTTTCTTTTATGTTATTTCTTTCATTGTCTTTCCATCACAAAAGAACTAGCAATTTCTCTACTAATAACTTGGATATGGATTTTTACAACAAAAAGATGATTGCTACCTCCGTAATTTTGATATAATATGCAAACAACATTGTCCTTTAAGTGCCTAACAATATGGCAGTCTATTTACACTTTTGCTTTTGTTTATAACTTTATCTATATTATCAGACCTTTAATACTAGACTTGCCTACAATTCTATTTTGTTATTACCTAGCAATCTCATCTTTTCCTTGGATGTTATTTTTGTTCTAGCAAAAAATATTGCATATCCATGCTTTGTTATCTTCCATGTACCCCAAACTTGGTCCCCTGCCAAGTTCAAGTACACTAGATTTGTCATAGAATGATTTTCTAATAATATAATTATTTTATCAAATTGCATTTAATTTTATATTTACTTTCATTTACAAATTACATACAAATTAAAAGAAAAGGATTGATCCCTCCCTCTAAATTGTTTTTTTTATTATTATTTTGAATTCTGAGGACTTTTATTGAATTTAAATTCATCTCACAACTCTAAATAATTGGAGGAGGGGTCTTTTTCATTTTTTTTATATAGGTTCAACAAATGAGAGAATTAAGAATACCTACCATAAAGACTAATCAAATTGATAATGATGTACGAGAAAATACAACATTTTTATTGCTTGACCAACCTTAAAGAGGATAAAAAAAAAAACATGTCTCCAATTATCCCGTAGACCTAGGCACCTATCAAGTCCAGTTGTCCCATGCACTTGGACGCTGTCGTCGACTTGGCCACCAGCCAAGTCTAGGTGTCCCTTGGACTTGCTCGGCTCCAAAGATCAGGTGCCCTGGACTAAGTTAGCTGCCAAGTGCAGTTACCTTAAACTTGACTATTGCAATGTCTAAGCGTAATGATTCTGGCATGCATTTTGCACTGCCACTACCTTGGACTTATCCCATTAAAAAAAACATAGATATAATTTAAAAGTTAATGTCAATTATTATTAATATTATTTTTATAATAATTAAAATTATTAATATAATCATTAATAAATTTGAAAGAAATATTATTAATAATTTCATTTAAAGGGTAATTATAACACTAATAATAATAATAAACTATTATTAATATCAAATAAAAACCATAAATATGTTTAAAAAAGATTAAAAATATAAGAATTTAAGCAGATAAGTTAAATATTATTAATAATTGAAAAAAAAACATAATTACTACAAGAACTATAAAAACAGGTGAGACAGGTTTAATATTATTATTATTATTAAAATTATTATTATTTGTATTATAATGTTATTATTTTTATTATATTTAATATTATTTCTATAATAATTAATCAATTTGAATAGGTCCCGCCACAAAACACATCAATCTTGGTTTCAGAAGTGGGACAAATTAGACATGGATTCTAACACAAAACCTATTAGACCTAGAAGCTGTTATGATGCCCAAGAGAATTGGGTTTTGTTACCGTACCTATTAGCCTTAGATCCACATGCGAACCCAAGATAATTAGGTCCTAGCATCTGACCTATTAACATTGGGTCCCCATGTGGACCCAAGCGAATTAGGTCCCCCTTTATGAACCAATTATTTTAAGTCAGTCTAGGACTCAATTTGCTTGGGTCTGACGGCAAGACCCAAGGCAATTGCATTGAATTCCCTATTTGGACCCAATTCTCTTGTTTTAACCCGGGACCCAATTGTCATGGGTCAAGTGGCAGGACACAAGGTTAATGGATTCTAACTCCACGAACAGGGCTAATGGGTCCTGCATTAGTACGCAATTCTTTTAGGTCTCTTTTCAAAACTTGGATACAAACACTTGGCGTTAGGGCTGCCAAGTCCACGTGTCCCGTGGAGTTAGCCGCTATCAAGTCCAAGTTCCCTTGTATTTGTACACCTGCTAAGTCCATATGTCTATCTTATGGACTCATAAGTAATAGGTTCATCATCCGCACCCAAATGTAATGGGTTCATGCCCACCTCTTTTCAGTTTGCACAAAACCCAAGGCTATTAGGTCCATCAACAAGCCAGACCCAAGAGAGGTAGGTACAGACCCCAACCCCAAGTATCTTTAGTGTTGTGCCAGTACCCAATTCTCTTGGGCCTAATGTCAAGATCCAAGGCTAAAGGGTCCAGGCGACTGGACCTAAAACTGATGGATTCTGCAAGAACACCCAATTTGTTTGGGTCCAGTAGCAGGACCAAGGCTAATAGGTCTTGGGCTAAACAAGAGAGTTGGGTCCTGACAGGGAACTCAATTTACTTACCTTAGGTCTTGACGCCAAATCTAATTAGTTTAGGTCCGCATGTAGACCTAATGCTAATGAGTCAGGTGTTAAGACCCAATTCTTTTGGATGCTCAGCCATGACTCAATTCTTTTTTTGTCCTGCGGCAATACCCAAGTCTAATAAGTTTTGTGTTAGGACCCGATTTTCTTAAATCTTTAATTTTAATGATATTTTTAATGAAAATAAAAGATGAGCCTACGACGTAGCGTCAATCACCTTAGTAATCAAATTATAACAACTCAACCCATCACTTTATAATCAATTAATCCACCACAAAATAATAAGTTCATCAATTAATCTCTAAAAATACAACTTCAAACCCTAAACTTTAACAAATTTAAAATCAAAGCTAAAAACCACAATTATACTCGTTCAAATTTATATCTTACCTTAACCACTTAATTTATTCAATTCTCTTCCCTTTCATTTTCTCTCTCTCTCTCTCTCTCTCTCTCTCTCTCTCTCCCCACACACACACTAACTGACACACACACTAAAACATCCCTCTCATTTATACATAAAACCTACTCTTTCAAGGGCATTATTGCCATTTCCTCTTAAATTTTCTTCTTATTTCACAACATTACATATCAGACCTGGTAGTTAACTTTGGATAGTTTTGATTGTTTGTTGTTAGTTCAGAGCATCTATTCCAGGTATTCTTCTGATGAATGCTGCTGTAGGTATGAGGTTATAAGAAGTTTCATAACTTGAAAAGCATGCGTTGAAGTCTATGCAAATGAAGATGTTAGATGCCTTAATCACACACAAACAGGTGTTTTACTATCTTCGGTGACTCGTATATAAGTGGAGGCCACTGCCATTGCACTGGACAGGTGCGACTGGAAGGATGTAGGCTTTTTGATTCGCTGGGGGAGAAGGGGTGTATTCTTTAGACTACGCTTTATATTGATTATGTCAAATTCAAGCAACACAGAGCTGTGTTGAACTTTAATTTATAAAAACAATATTTAATTTAAGATAATATTTTTAATATATTCAAAACTACATAATATTATTTTATTTAACCAGTTTCATATGTATTTTTATTTTTATTATTTTTTATTAATTTTAATAAATAAATTTGATAGGTATAAATAGATAAAAATATTATTTTACGGGATCAAATATCTTGATTTACATCATTCTCTTAATTTTTCTAATTTCTCTTTTAGTTCTTTTAATTTATATACATAGATAATTATTAATCTTATATGATTAGATGTTTCTATAAAAATTTTAATTTTCACTTTTAATTTTTTATATTAAAAATTATAATTATAATAAAATAAAAATAAAATAACTAGTGATGTATATATATATATCAAGGGTGTATTTAGAAATACGGTGCATACCACGTTTCCAAAAATTTTAAATTTTTTTGTTTAAAATAAAAATTTTATTTTTATATAGTTTTTATATGTTAATATTAAAAATAATTTTAAAAAATAAAATAATTTTATTTTAATATATTTTTAAATAAAAAAATTAAATCATTATCTTATCACAAACTTAAATAAAGCCGAAGTCCCAAACATAGCAGGATACGCTTTGTCAGGATAGTCGACAAGTAAACGATCCAAAGTCAAAATATTTTTTGACTGCCTAATTATTCTGAATGGCAAAGAAACAAAAGTTCTCGAGCCCAGCTCAAGTCAGTCCCCTACACTAGAGTAGAGACATGGTTTATAAAACCTGACTCAGCCCAGCCTGTCGGCTTAATTTGTAACTGGTTAAGTTTTATGTAGATTGAGGCTTTTTCACTTAAAAAAATGATGTATTATTTTTTAAAATAAAAATCCAAAATAATTGTTTTAATAAAAAATTAAATTAATCCATCATTTTAAAACAAATTTTAGATCATAATCACAATTTGTGTATTCCTGTATATCTATATATATATGTTTGTCTTTTGGTGGGTTAAAGAAAAGAAAATATTGATTTACTGTCGCGGTATTCATAAAAAAATGTCTACATTCGATGTATCTAAATTAGAGAAAATGTAAAGCATCTTCAACTAGCATGAACCAAGTTTAGAAACGTTGTGTAAAAGAAAATTGTCAGCACAAACGTCACATAATCTGTCTGCATCTACTTTACCCCATCCGAAGAACACCGCAGGGTCTGTCTAGGTTCACTTTGTATTAAACCAGTTCTCGAAGCATAAATAAGACCATACCCCACAACCCTTTTGCTAACAAAAAATTATTCGAGAGAGAGAGAGATCATCATGGGAGAGGTTGATCCAGCCTTCATTCAAGACCTTGAGCACAGGCCAAAGCTTGAGATCATCAAAGCAGAAGGAATACCCTTAATTGATTTATCCATAATTAATTCTCCTAACACCAACTTGGATAACTCTCAAGCGCTTGATGGTCTGGTGAAGGAGATAGGGAATGCATGCAAGAACTTGGGGTTCTTTCAAGTGATCAATCATGGGGTGCCTCTTGATAAGCGACAAAAGATTGAGAATGCATCAAGAAAATTTTTCGGTCAGCCATTAGAGGAGAAAAGGAAGGTTAGGAGAGACGAGCAGAAGGTGTTGGGTTATTATGACACCGAGCATACCAAAAATGTTAGGGACTGGAAAGAAGTGTTTGATTTTGCTGTGAAGACTCCAACCATTGTGCCATCCTCGTATGAGACTGATGACAGGGAAGTTACCGAATGGTTTAATGATCAGTGGCCCGAGTATCCCCTTGAACTAAGGTAACTGTACTTTTTAAAAAAAATAAAAACTTTTGCACAGTTTGGACGCCTCGTGAATGTTTTAGTTCCAATCTACAAGTTCTTTGATAATATAAGATTATGAATGTTTCTTTTTGTCTTGCATGCAGGGAGGCCTTGGAAGAATATGCTAAAGACATGGAAAAACTAGCCTTCAAGTTGTTGGGGCTCGTTGCCCTGAGTCTAGGCTTACCAGAGAATAGGTTCCATGGATTCTTTGAAGACCAAACCAGCTTCATTAGACTCAATCATTATCCCCCTTGCCCTGTTCCACAACTAGCTCTTGGCGTTGGTCGACACAAGGACGCTGGAGCCTTGACCATCCTCGCTGAAGATGATGTTGGGGGACTAGAAGTCAGAAAAAAAGACGGGGAATGGATTCGAGTTGAGCCAACCCCTGATGCCTTTATCATCAATATTGGTGACATTATCCAGGTACCATTACCAAAATCACAGTACGATAAGATGATTTAGCAATCAACACTAATCAATTATCTGGCAGGCTTGTTTCTGAGATTTGCATTTGCCGAAGCCACTTGGTAGAATCTTTACTTCTTGTGTAGGTTTGGAGCAATGATGCTTATGAGAGTGTGGAACATAGAGTTATGGTGAACTCTGAGAGGGAAAGGTTTTCCATTCCGTTTTTCTTCAACCCGGCACACTACACTGATGTGAAGCCCCTGGAGGAGCTGACAAATGAGCAAAACCCTGTCAGATACAAGCCATACAACTGGGGAAAGTTTTTTGTCACGAGAAAGCGCAGCAATTTCAAGAAGCTTGATGTAGAGAACATCCAAATTTATCACTTCAGGATACTAGAGTCCGAGTTAGCTGATAAGCTAGAGGGAGCACTGTCCATCAAGTAACAAGAAATGAATCACTACCTTCTACAGAAAAAAGTCTCTTCTATGAGATTCAGCAGTATCATGTATAAAAATAATGGGATTTGGTATGAATAAAGGTACAATATTGCGTTATTTTTGTTGATGTGGATTGATTCTATTCATGATTATGAAAGAGAAGAAGATATACAAGTGAGCAAGCCTTGTCATCGCTCGTACAAGTGAGCAAGCCTGTTTTCAGCATTTTTTTGAAAAAAAGAAAAACAACGGTTGAAAAGAATAAAAATTCTTCGTAAAAAAAGGAAGCATTTCTCCCGAAAGGTGTACAGTTTCAGTTTAGTCTATAAATTTCTGATTTTTTGATTTGTCACAACTGGTGAATTTTTATTAAAGAGAAAATCCTTAATCCAAAAAAAAATGAATAATAAGTTTCTTTAGTGAGCCAAATGTAATAATAATAATAATAATAATAATAATAAAGACTAGACTAAAAAATAAAAATTGTAAAAAGAAAAAAAAAAGAGGAACATAATGTTGTTTAAAAATAAATAAAATTCTTAGACTCAGTTGGTTTTTGTTGTTGCTGAATACTAACCACAATTGCAAAAAGAGTGCACCGACACCATTAAATCGTTGATTTTCTATTGTCCAAGATAATCTTGTCATTGCTTCACTTGTTTCCTCTATCGTCCATCTTCTTGCCTCTCTCTTCAACGTGCTTTTCCTTTCTCTTCATTGTTCTTGCCGTTGATTCAACATCTTCACCTCCCAAATCTTCATTATCTTACCGATTATGTTTCCAATTGTAAGATCTTATAGTCAAATTCTTGTTTGTCAACAAATCATTGAAACACTCAAAAGATTACCCATCTCCAACCCAAATCCTCATCCTAAACTCAAACTATACACCAAATTTGATTTCGTGTTCTGTTCTTCTCGGGGTTCCATATTTCTTCATATCAATTACATCATTGACAACACGATGTAATTGACACCATCTTCAAACTAATTTTTTAAAAAGAATATTTCAAAAATTTCATGTAATTAAATTTTTCAATTTCATCAAAAATCATTCCCTTCTTCTTTCTTTTTATAAATTTATGCTTTTTGTTTTGTTTCAAAGCTATAAATCTAACATCTTTTATTTAAAGCATAAAAAATTCTATGGATTGGTTACAAATGTTGCTTTTAGTTTCACATTAATTGACATTTGTAGTGGTGTTGAAATCCATTTTCTTAATTATTACATAACATTGTCTATGCTAGGAAAGAAACTATGAATAATCAATTTCTAAATTGAAACTAACAAACTGGCCTATATACAAATACACTTCCCAAAAACTATTTCTAAACTTGGAAGATTTCTTGTAATTTATTATGACACCCATGGTGTAGATTTATTTTGTTTCTAATATTATGATTAGTGTGTGAGCATGTTAATTTATGCGGGATAAATTTAACATCCCCATGAAGTACTTCACTTAATTTTTTCCTTTACGATTTAGTTTTTTTTTCTTGTAACTCACCTTTCTAAACTTAAATGAGTTTCTTTTAATTGTTGTTTTTAGAAACTTGGTTGATCCATATGCGAATTTCACTTGCATTAAGTGCTATAAAATCAATTTATTTAGTATTATTGTTAAATTTGTATCATCAACTGCATCAAACACCTTTTCTTGTCAAGTAGCTATTAGGAATTGTTGCTTTCAAAAACCAAGACTGTTGTTGCATTCACACAAATTCATGTTTTCTCATCATCTTTTTGTTATATTGCATCTAGAAAATTAACTTATTAATTATATATTTGAAGAAACACTATAATTGAGAACATAAAAAATTCTCAATCACAAGATAAGGCATGTTAGAATAGGGAGATGTTGAACAAATTTTGTGACATTTGTCAAAGCATTTGAGAGAGGTGTGCGACCAAACACATATTTTAACAAAGCTAGATGAAAATATATTATCAATTGCTTTAAAAAGTAGACCAATCATACACTAATGAAAGCACAATTGAAGAATAAGAGGGATGGAATAAAAAAAAATTGGAGAATATGAAAAAAGTTGATTTTCAAAAAATGAGTAGGTCGGAGTTTAAACTTGGAGCAATTTCAGCCACTAACGAGAGATGGAAATCTAAAATCAAAGTGTGTTTTTGTTTAAGCATGTGTACAATTACTATAAAATACTTTATGGTTTATTGTTATGTTTGTTATAATTCATTTGTATCATTATTTTTTCTTGTAGGAAATACGAAAAGCTTGAAAATTTAGGCATTCCTGTATTAAGCCCACGTTGTGTTGTAAATATAATATTATATTTATAAACATTGTGGCTACAAGTCAATATACTTGGGCTCCATTACAAGGTTTGAATTCTAATGATGATGGTTTAGGTGAAGGGATAAGGAATGCTATTAATGAGTATTTAAATTTAAAGAAAGGTAGTGGTGATTTAGAGAATGATACTTTATCAAATTTTATAGAGGATATCAATAATATAGTTGCTAATGTTAACTTTGCCAATAATAGTAGCAATCCTAGTAATAGTAGTAACAAGAGAAAAAAGCTTCAACAATGTATAAAAAGAAGTGTTAAAAAAAAAGTTCAAGAATAGGAGAGCAATTTTTTTTCATGTTTAGATCAATTAGTTGATAATGTCCATGCTAGGAGTGAATGCACATCTAGTATTTGAGATAAAAAATAATGTAGCATAGAAAACATCATGAAAGAGTTTCACTCCATTGAGAATATGGTTTTCAAAAGTGAGCTTTGCCTATGAGTTTTTTATTGTTAGAAGCATGAGGAAAATGTGGGAAGCAATTGAATATAAGAAAAGAAAATTTTCAATAACTAAAATTAATATTCAAGAGGAGCTCAAACCTTAAACCATGATGTAAGGGTCAATCTAATTAATCTACTTTACATCTAAATTGCATGTTGAGTATTGTTCTAATAAATTTATCTTTAAAGCATTTCTAAAAATTTGATATTGAAAATGATTCGTGTGTTTTTAGGTATTCTTTGAATTTGATATTTCAAGTCTTAGATAGGTTATTACAATTTCATTTCATGATATACAATGATTTATTCATTAGAAGTTAACTACTTCATGAACATAATATTAATATCATAATTATCATGAACATACTTTAGTGCTATGTGTTTTACATTATAAGAGATAAATTTTGTTGCTATATATTGATATGGATGTCACTATTACTGCTGAAATGTTGTTGTCCCTTAATCTATAAATTAATTGGTTACTGCTGACTAAGTAATTTTATTGAAATTTTGTATATATCAAATTTGGTCCTTATTTTTTTTATTATTACTTATTTTATTTGAAATAATTTATGAAATATTAATTATTATTATTTTAATTTTTTCATCTTTTATTTTTTTATTTTTAAAATTTGATCTCTATTACTTTGATTATTATTTATTTTATTTGAGATAATTTATAAAATTATATTTTTTTTAATTTCATTCTCATTCAACTTTTTAATTTGTAAGAATTGTTCCACATTATTTTAATAAATTTGAGAAAAATAAAGCATTAATAAGTTATTTTCCAACTCATTTTCCATGACATAACCAAACACTGGAAGGTGTTTTCCAACTTATTTTCCATTACACTGTCAAACATTAGAAAATAATTTACTTTCCTGGAATTTACTTTTTAAAAGAAAACTAATTTTCAACAAACAAATGGGGCCTTAGATTTTGAAAAAAAAAGGAGGTGAAGAATCTGGTAGAACATGTCTATTTTTCCTTACAAAACACAAGTTTAAATTGTTGTCCCATCAATAACACTACATAATTATATTAGAGGAAAGTCAATTTAAGATATTACATTTAATGAGTTTGATCGTCATCCTGATTTTATCTCTAATGATATTTTAATTGATATAATTCCACAATCAGAAACATATAAGCACTAGAGAGTTTCCCATATGAATTTTGTTTGTAATGACATTGCAGCAAATTTTATAAGATAATAATATTTTTTATTTAAAAAAAAATTCTTTTTATACAAATTATTATTTCTACTATTTGTTATTTTTTTTATTTAAAAAACGAGAAATAAATTTGTGTCCTTTTTAGTTATTTTATATACAAAATTAATTCCAACTAAAATTTTAACCAAATATATTATGACATGCTTTTGATCAAAAAAATTCAAACCATAATTTTAGTCAAATGCACATTTTATTAAAACTAACCACCGATAAAAATTAATTTTTTAAAATTAGTTTTTTAAATTATTACCATAAACATTACCACCAAAAAAAATACACTTATACACACTTATAGGAAAGGCTATAAGCAACAGGAAAGTTAGAATTCAAGAAAATAATAAATAAGTATGAAAAAGTTTATAGAGACTGGATGCGAAATAAATATTTTAAATTAGTATAAATATGTAGTTACTCTCTGACAGTAACAACCCCAAGCCCCATACAAAATTAGTTAAAAAAATTTCACAAAACACTCCCCTAAATAAAAAGAAGTTGGCTTTATTTAAAAAAAAAAACGTCCATACACTTTCCTTCCCACCAATCCACACAGGCTCTTCAGCAAGCACCACATAAATAGATAAATAAGCACAAAAACCCTCTCTCTCTCTACAAGACCAAAAAATCTCTCTCTCCTTAAAACACAAAAAAAAAAGGCTACCGTATTTTATACATGCTAAGCGTCTGTTTGTTTTCACCTGCTTCCATGTTTGCAGTGTAAAACACACAGTTAAACATTTAATAATATATTAAATTACATTTTATATTATAAAATCTGTTAAAAAATTAAATTTAAAATATAATTTTTATAAAATTATTTTTACATGTTTTTTAAATAAATTTTATAAAACTTTATTTGTTTTTGCATTTCAAAAATATTTTTTAAAATTTAAATTTTTTTATTTTTTAGTTTAAATTAATATTTTTTTTATTTTTAGATTTTGATATTAAAAATAATTTTTTAAAAAATAAAAAAATTATTTTGATATATTTTCAAGTAAATAATATTTTTAAAAAATAATTATAACCAAATATTTTTTATATATTTTTTATTGCATATAAATTTTAATTATAATTTTTACTAAATACATTTCTAAATATAACTAAACATGTTTAATCATATTTTTTTTAAATTTAACTTTTCTTAAACCATAATGATAACATCTATCCTAAAAAACAAACGCAATCTACGTCGCCCACCACCAAGATACAAGATACAAAACATCATGGAAGTCATAAATACAAGAGGAAGGAAAGCAAGACTACAAAAAGAAAGAAGAAATCTGAAACTTCCAACCGTTAAATCTCTCATCTCCAGTGATGGTGTGCTACACCGCCAGTGCCAGTGGAGAGAAGAACATCGGTGCACCTGTATAGGCTGCCACGCGCCTCTAATCCTCGTCGACACGTGGGAATACACACCAACAACTTCGACGGTCCTCTCACCTGTGCTACAGACGTATCGCCTTTGTCGTCACCAACTTCCAGCAGCATCGTGAACGTCCTCTGAAGCTGTCAGCCACCAGCAACTTTTGTGCTCATTTCATCCACCATTAAAGGTTGAGTTCTTATGTAGCTTATTCTTTGAATTTATGTTTTTTTACTTTAAGTTGAATCGTATAACTTAGATTTTTGAATTACATGTCGATTACTTGATTTTGCGATGGATTGTGAGCTTATTCTTTAAGTGGTGTGACCTTATTCTTTGAATGGTGTTTGTGTTTAAACATTTAAACTTTGATTCATGAATTATATTTGGATTTAGGTTGGGTTATTGAATTAACAAATGATTTGAATGTTGTTTTGAAATTTTTAGTGTTGGTTGATTATTGGATTAGAACATTTGACAAGAATATGATTTATTAAGCTTGATTCAATCATTAGTGTTTAGTAAAAGAGATATTATGTGATTATTGTGGTTGATTTTATGAAGTTTTCATAGATAAAATTTTAAATTAATTGATGTTTGTTGAAATTAGTAAAAAATAATTATGTGAAATTTTTTATTATTGTAACTATTATTTCTTTATATTAGAGTTGGTGATGCATGGAAAAAATAAAAAATTCAATTTTTTATTTTATAATTTATAAAAATTTAAAGTTTACATCTAGCATTTTAATTATTAAGAACTTTAATTAATTTTTAAAATTTAATAATTAGTTATGTATAAAAAAAAACACTATAACTTCTACTACATCTTAATAAGATTTTGTTGTCTTTTATTATTCATCAATTTATCTTTTAGTTAAAGTAAATCTATCTTAATAAAGTAAATTATAACTTCATGAGTCAAGCCTAATGATTGTAAAGTCAAATAAAATTTTATTATTTTTTAATACTAGAAGTACATATTAAATATAATTTTATAATCCTTCACATTAAAAATAAACAAATTTTTATTTTAGTATTTTTAAAATTTAGATTATGAGCTTAATAAACTTGTTACTAAGTCTATAATACATAAAAAATATAAAAAATATTTTTTTGTTTTTTTATATTTTCTAAAAAATACTAAATCATGCAATATATATTTTTTTTATTTTTTCTCTCTATTTCATTTTTTTTTTTGTATTGTATTTTTTTGGTTAAAAATGCAAATATATATTTTTTTTTGGAGAAACTTGCTTGTATGCAATTTAGTACATAAATATATATATTTTTATCTTTTTTTTAAAATAAATATTTTTTTTTATTTTTTTAACAAGTTTATTTACTATTGAAAAAGTATTTTACATATAAATTTACAATATCAAAAATTAAATATAAAAAGATAAAATGGTATAAAAAATAAAAATTAATTACAAAATAGTCCTTTAAAAATCTCAAAATTAATTAAAATTAAACTGGAACATGTTTGAAAAAACACTAAAAAAAATAAAAATTTAGGGACCTAAAAATAAAAAAATTTCTTAGGCAAATTTCAGCTTTGTCAGGTCTTAAGCCTTAAAGCGCCAGTCCAGTTATGTGAACTGGGCTTCCCAGGCTAGTTCAAAGTGTGGGTCTTGTCCAAAGAAAATTGTATGGGCTTTTAGAAAAGTTAAAACAGGCCTTGGTGGAAGAAAAGCCGACAGGCTAGAGAAACAAAACAGCCAGCCTTTTTTTAAAAGGGGCTTGGAATGCCTAAACCAAAAACAAAAAACCAAATTTATATTTAGGAGATCAAAATGAGTTGTGTGTAATTAAAATCCATCAGAAACAAAAGGACGTTTAGGTTAAAAAGAACACGAAGAAACCATTTCACATAGCCATACCACATTCACGCTTAAAAAAGGAGACAACCCGTGACCATGCCAAGCCTAACAACACACGCTTTACAAAGACTGCGTAATAACTTCATTTCACACAAAAGGAAACGTGGGGGCCTGCAGTTATACTATAGTTCTCGTCAACACAATTAACCTCGATCCATAACCTAAGTATAATGAAAAGAGGCTTCTGGTAGCCCTATAAATCCTATGCCCTAAAGCAACACCCAGTCTATATCCGTTGTCTAGCAAAACAGACATCAAGATTTCAAGTTATACCAAAGGAATGCACAATGCTTTATCGAGTTTCCAGGTCTTTACAAGGACACCATGTTTAAAAACAAAGGACCTTACTAACGTACAGTGTCTAAAACAACAAGAGAACATTTAACCACAAAGAAAGGAAAGATTCAGAGGGAATACCTGTTACAATGGGACCAATCTGGCTTCTTATTCGAAAAGCTTCTTAACACTTTACTTTGATGCTCTTTTCTTTTGCTTTCGCAGGTCCTGATAAACCCCCCTTTTTACATTGTAGAAACAACGACGATTTGCTGATTCTTGCCTTCCAAAGAGAGCTGGGCGTCTTCCTCCTCTCAAGATGGTGACTTGGAAAGCTTCAAATAATTCACAGGCTTGAAACCGAAGCAATAAGGTAAAAAAAAGATGGAGGCAGTCTGGGTTTGGTTCCTTGATTTTTTAAGTGGCCGGACTTTGTCGTAACGGCATGAGGGTTAGGCCTTCCATATATGAGATGAAGATTTGTGGGTTTTCTAGAGTGGAAGATATGGAGGCTTGAGAGGGCAATAGAAGGCCTATTTTTTTTTAGTTTGTATCATGGTAATGATTCTCTCCTCTCCCAGTTGTTTCAGAACCTCTCCTTTTATAGGCAACAATGGAGGATTCTAGACTTTCTTTGTTGGCAACACCATAGTATTTGATCTCCATAGCCCTCCTCTGCAGCCGTTGGTTGGGATTTTGTTGCTTTTGGCTTAGATGTCAAGCTAGTATAGCAGTGTACCATCCTTGTCTCTTGTGTTTGTAGGGATTTTGGCTCCGAGCAAGAGCAAGGTTGTCATAGACCTTTTTTTAACATGAAATTGAAAATATAATATAAACTTGGGTTATAAATTTAAATTATAAAATTATATGTAATTTTTTAATTAATTATATATTTACAATTTCAATTAAAAAATTAAATTATATTAAAATTAATAAAGAGAGTCAACAAGATTATAATCAATGAATAATCTAAAAAATAAAAATAAAAATAAATTGCATGTATCAATAAATTAATGACATGGAAAAATAAAAAAATATTAGAACAAAACTTTTCAATATAATGGAATCACTTAATGGTAGGAAATACATATGAACTGACTGACAACTTGGTTGTTTTCATTACAAGAAGTCCTAATGAATCCCTTTTAGATTGTAAGTTAATGAGTCTAAACTATTAATTAACTAACATAAATTTAATAATGAAATAAATTTCTAAACATTGTCTAATACGCTAGCAAAAATCTAAATTAAAAATAATCATTCATAAATAAATAAATAAAATAGAATAATAAAAATAAATTTTTCATGTTAAAATTCATTCATATAGCACGAATCTCTAATTTCATATATTCTTAACAGATATGAGTTCTAATTTCAAACATGTCGTTCTCTCTTGTTTGGATGAATTATTGAGCTTATGATATATGATTAGAAAGCTTGAGATATCTAGTTTCTATCTCAACTTTAATCGCATCACAATTTCACTAGTAGCTTCAAATATGTCAAAAACAGTACACGAATATCTAGTTTGATAGATTTGACAAATTTCATTTATTAACTTTGATCCTCTGAAATATTATGTTTCTCAACTTCATTTGACTTGAAAATATACCACAATATATTTTTATATGTCTATTATTTTCCTATAAAATCTTAACTCTATCCAATATACAGTTTGAAAGATATGTTCAATCTTACAAAATTGATTACCAGATATTTTAATGCTAAATTTGAATTTAATTTAGTTCATATTATAAATTTAATAAACTCGTAAAATTAGATTAATTTTATTAATTTTGCATGAGTTAAATTTTATTTTATTTATATTTAAGTTTTTAGTTTGATTTTGTAATTTAGATATATATTGACTAGTAAAATAATATAATTTTATGAATTAACTCATGATTTTAACGATAATAGCTTAGATGATGAAAGACTCGAATGATGAAAGACGAGGGTGGCAATGAGGTGGTTTTAAGCAATACATGATTGTTAGGTTTTTATGTTCAAAGAACATACAAGGGAGGATTTTGTTCTAATGTGAGAGAGGCTTTGGAGCTAAGAAAAAGAAAAGGGCATAAAATCATAGGATTTAGGAGAGGAGAAACTAAGTCATTAAATTTAAGAAGTTGGTATGATTTTGGCTCAAGAATAAAGAAAAGTTTGAATATAAAAAGATAAGGATGGACTAGATGTTTGGAGATGTGGGATTTTTGTTGTTGCTCTCTAGCTGAATAGGTGGAGGTGGACGATTATTCATAGTGCAATTAAAAATAACATTGGTTCTGATTTCACTTCTTCTTCTTTTTTTTATCAATTTTCAACAAAGCTATATCATGTCATTTCATTTAAATAAAAATGTCATTATTTAGCTATCCCAAATCTAATTAGGATTTAAACATTCTTATTTCCATTCTAGATCTTAATCATTTGAAACATTGTGATTAACCCCTTTAATTAAACATAATTCTTGAGAATCTTCTCAATTTCACTCCTAATTATCTCTAATTGAAACCTCAATTTCTAGTGCCCATTACAAAATGGGTTTTGGTTTTGATACTCTTCAATTTCATCCTTAATTAGCATTTTAAACTTCTAGTTTTTTTAATTAAACTCTTGATTACATTAATTAAGTCAATCTCAAGTTTAATTAAGCTCGTAAACTTATTAATTCTTTCTATATGGCTAAATTGACTTTCAAACTTGATTTTTCTTTCAATTAAGCTCATGATCAAGCTAATTAAACTTTTAAAGTTTAATTAGATCCTTGATTTTTTAATTATCACAAATTCACTTGAATTAGGTTTCCAAACTTAATTTTCACTCAATTAGGTTCTTAATTAAGTCAATTAAACATTAAATTTTTTAATTAAATCCTTAAACTTAATTTGATTCTTTTAATTTTAGCCAAATTGACTTTCAAACTTGATTTTTATTCCAATAAAGTATTTAATTAAATCAATTAAACTTAATAAAATTTTAATTAAGTCCTTTAACTGAATTAGTTCTTTTAGTTTTAGCCAAATCAACCTAAGCTTAATTTTGCTTTCATTAATGCTATCAGAAGGAAATGATGTTTCAATCCCTCAATTAAAATAACATGACAAAGTTCAAATGTTATATATACCTCCCGAACCACTTATGTAAAAGGTTCATCTTTTCCATACTCTTTAAGTATTCATATTATTATTTTCAAAATATTTATCGTACATGACTAAAAATAAACACTTTTATTCTTTGAATTTAAAGCTCATTTTTTTATTTATTGCAATTTCTTGTTAAAAATAATTGATTTTATCATCACAAAATCCCTAAATCCCATCAAAAGGAACTGTATTATAGGTGTTAGGTCTTTTATTACCGATAATCAACTTCTTAAACTCTAGATAAAGAAATATTGACATGAATGTGTAATCACTCTCTATGGAAACACTAAAAATTATTCTTGAGCATATTAGATTTTGAAACAACATCAATTATTATTTTAATTTTCATAAAAATATATAGCATCATGGTTGAGAATTATAAACAAGATAATCAATTTTACCAAAAAAAAGATGGCCGATAAAAAATTTGCAGAAAAAAATCTTATTTTATTGATTTTTAATTTGTAATGAATATGCAAATTGATATTTATGTCATGTTATGCAATCAATTTACAAAGTTACATTTTTCCTGGGGCTCACAATTTTCTACTTGTTTCATTTTCATTGGCGCGTGTTATGGTTGAATATAGGAAAAAGGCAACTTAGTCTAGTAGACACTCATTTTATCCTTGGCTCAAAGACCTATTATTAATATCGTATCAGATCAACCTAAAAAGAAAAATATCAAATGACTTTAACTTTTCAAACTTGTAACTCATATCATTAGATCATAAGTGCTATAAATGAAAAAAAATATGAAGTTTAATCTTTATCAAATCAAATGTTAAAAGATGAAAAAAAAATCAATTACACAATAGGATTTAAGAAAACTTTTAAATTAAAATAATGATGATGAATATATGATGAATATATATATGTTAAATGGCAAACAAAAATTTTAAATTGCAGGGTTAAAATGAATTGAAAAATAACTTAAAAAAAAACAAAACCAAAGAGTAAAGGTTAAATTTAAAAAAAAAAAAATAACATAAACTTTGATTGACTGATGAAATTAAAAATCAATAAAATTTTAATAAAAAAAGCTAAAGAAATAAATTAAAAATCATAAGAATAAGGACCAAAATGAAATATATAAGAAATTATAATTGAATGACTAAATTGAAAATAAACAAAACTTTGATAAAAGAAATAAGAAAAAAGAATAATTAAAAAAAGAATGATTGGAATAAAAAAACAAATAGCTTTGATGAAATTAAAAGCCAATAAAACTTTAACAAAAGGACCATTGAATTACATTTAAAATTAAAAAATAAGGACCAAAATGAAAAACATGAGAAATTGTAGTTGAAGAACTAAATCAAAAACAAATAAAACTTTAATAAAAAAAATAGGTGTAAAATAAAAAATCAAAAGAATGAGAATTGAAATTAAAAAAGAAAAAACAAAGAGAACAATCATGCACTTTATTTGACAAGAAAAAAAAAAGAGAAAAAAATAACCACTAATAATAATCTGATCACCATATGTCATTATGTGCCATACCACGAGGAAGAGAACATGATAACACTTTCAAAGATATGATGAAATGTCATGTTTGGGCATCGGGTGGTGTGGTATATGTTGTTTTAATAGTGTGAACGTGAATATCTCATTAGTGTGTAATGAATATGAACATCAACATTCTTCAATAAAAAATTAAAAAGTCAACTTGAAAATATAAAAACGCCGCTCATGACTCTAGTAATTACAAAAAAAATCATCATGTGAAATTACAAAAATATCTTTGAATGCAAACTTATATTTTGACTTTTCAATAGTTAATAACATATTTTAACTATATATGAAAAAGGGAAAAAACAAAAAATCCCTTGACCAACAACCTGATATTTTTTTGATCATGATATAAATAAGTATTTTTACTATTTTAAAACTCATGAAAAGTTAAAAAGTCCCCTTTGTTAGTAACTCTAGATTTTTTATTTTTTTTACTTTAAGGGTAAAAGTGTATGTTTTACTCTACAAAAAAATTTCAAAAAGATTAATACCCAAAACAATCTTTTAACCGCCATCGTACCGATGTAAAAGACCAAAGCAATCCCACTCTCAAGGTTTCTCGTTTGTTTTAATCATCCAAAAGCAAAAAAATTATCTTGTCGTTGCTATCCGTATTAAACTATGTTTAGCGCTACAATAAATATCCGATACCTTATATATTTTTTGTAACTTTTTCAAAGAATCCGGTTAATGGGTGTTCTTAAAACACTCAAGCCTGTTTGTTTTTGTATTTTGAAAGTGCTTTTGAAAAAAAATACATTTTTTAATTTTCTTCTTTGCTTCATATTCAATTTTTTGGTATTTTTATATTGTTTTGATGTGCTAATATTGAAAATAAATTTTAACAAATAAAAAAATATTATTTAAATTTATTTTTAAATAAAAAATACTTTAAAAAGTAATCAATATTATAATACCAAATTGATACAAAACTTTATCAAGTTTTTGGTGACAAAATAGCTCCATGATAAAAAAAAGCACGTCAATTTAAAATCCATTTGGTATTGTGGTTAGAGTTACTTTAATCCTAACAATAATTTA